CGCACACATACAAAGGCGCCACGGATCGCCAGCAGCCACAGTAGCTGTAACCGGTGGAGCTGTACCAGTCTCAACTATCGCAACATGTAATGAACATTTTGTGATGAAGCACTTACGCATGCAATCAGATCGCGCTTATTTTCAGACATCTATCCAATGGGATTTGCCAAAATAGACTTCTTTATATGGGTTGGCCTGCACGGTACATTCTTCGCAACTTCGGAAAGCTCGCCTAGTACAGTAAGCCCTAGAATTCGTGCAACAAGCTAACATTTTCGAAATATTCATACTCACTCGCTAATCGTAATTGAGTAAGGTTGAAATACTGACTATCATGTAGCCTATTCCCAAGTCATTGCAGTCACGATAGGATGCTGGCTTTTTAACGAGCTTCTTTCTGCCCGCTAACGAAAAGTATTACTGTAAAAATGGCTACTTAAGTAGTACACATTTTCATCACTGATTTTGACTGCTTTTATAAGTTCAATTATATTTTATGAAAAACATGCAATAATAACTTCTTTCTTGTACCCATTCGGTATTAAATTATGCATTCTTTAAAATTTATACTTAAATGTAGGGTATATTTCGATTTTAAAAAGTTTCCAAATTACTGAATAATGTTGAAACCTACCGACTGTTATACCTGAATGAAAGGTTTACAAACTGCGCGCTGTGTACATCCTGTTTAAGGAAAAGTACTTTTTTGCCAACGTTTTGAGGAAGAAGTCATATAGTTCTCATAAAATGTTGCAATAGAGGTGCATAATTATGTATACGGTATAGGCTGTATCAATAAATTGGCGGATGCGATGTATTCTGAATGAACAACTCACCATCGTAAAAATCCGACAATTAGACATTATTAAAACCGAATAATGCCGTTTCTTTAGGTATAAAATTTATAGAAAGGTGTAATTTGCTACCAAACGAGAATTTTTTCGTGCACGTTTTCCACAAAATATATTTGAATTTATAGAGGCAGTCAAAATAAAGAATAAAAATGCACACTATCTAAGTAGTCATTTTTTACGGTACATCGATTTCGTTAGCGTTCAGAAGCAAAGACTTAAGAACAGGCTACACGATAATCGGTAGTATAACCTTACTTAATGCGAATTAGCGAGCAAATATCAATCTTTCGGAAATTTTGGCATGTTGCAGGAATTCTGGGCCGTACTTGCAACTGCTTACGGCTACGTTTGCCGAAATAGGCTGTTTCTAGCATTAAAACATTAAAAATGCCGTCAAGCGATGGCTGTAATTCATCACCGAAAGGATTTACAGTGCAACTAATTTCATATTCATCAC